GTTAGCACTGAAAGGAAATGATTTTTGTTATGCGTTATTTGTATAATTTTGGTTTTGTGTTGCCTTCTTTTAAGTTATATAAAACCCAATAAAGATTAAAAAAAATAAAGAAAAAGAAAAAGCATTGTGGCGTAACGGTTTGACTGGGATGCTGGAGACCAGGGTTCAAATCCTCACTCTCTCAGCCTCAAAGGAAGGCAATGGTAGCAAAACCTCTTTGAGGAAATTGTCTGAAAAAACTCTGTGATGGGGTCAGAGACTACTTGAAGGCACATAACAACAAGGAGTTTGTGGGTGTAGGATCTCTGCTTCCCATGGGATGAAAGGCAGGGTATATAAATTAAAATACACAACAGAATGCCCTGAAATGGCCATTAACTCCGTGACCCTCCATATTATTATAGACCTGAAACAGTCCATGGTTTGGGGATGGTGGGGAGCAGAACAAGACATTGCCCTAGGGAGGACTTTGCTTCAAAAAGCAGCATACAAATATCTGAAATAAATAAAGACATGTGTGGAACTACCTGCCACAAGAGGTGGACAACTGTCTATAGAGAGGTTAAATAACAAATGGAATCCAGTCTTAAAACTCTGAAATGAAAAACAGATACACTTCAAAGGAATATAGTGAAGACAGACAAACAGACTAAAGAAGATAAAGGAAAATAATAAGCCGATGTTATTAAGGAAAAGAACGAGAGAAAAACGAAAATGAAAAATAACAAAGATTCTAGCAAATATAAAATATACAAAAATTAATTGGATTAAATAAAGGGACAAAGTTATCTAATGTGAACAAGGAATAAATGTAAGAAAAAACTGACAGCTAGATGGGAAATACAATAAGCTACATTGAGAAATATGTACAAGGTAAAAAATATTTTTGTTTCTAGATATGTCTATTAGCTGTTAGTGGATAGATTTCTAATTCTTTTATGCAAAATATATTATTATTATTATTATTATTATTATTTGTATCCCGCCCCTCTGAAACCATTCGGGGCAGCTCATACTATTAAAATACAATATACCCAAACTTTATTCCCTCCCTCCCCTTAAAACAATATTAAATCAGATAAGAATTAAAACAAACAGATTAAACAACAACATACAATATATGCAGATACGGCCACGAGTATCTGTGACAGTAATATAGGAGTACAGTGGTATTATCTTTATCTTTAAGCTAGGAGGACTCTGGAGGACTCTCCTAAGTTTCCTATTATTATTATTATCATCATCATCATCATCATCATCATCATCATCATCATCTCTCTCTCTTCCCCCTGTCAGAACTGGACCCTTTTGCAGACCTTGGAGAAGTTGTCATCCAAAAGAGGTTACTTATTCAAACTCTTTTTGGGAGGGCATAGTGGTTAGGGACTCTCTTAATCGTAATTAATCTTAATCTCTTCACCTTAATCTAGAGTTAAGGCATGAGAAAAGCATGGCTCTGTCTGTATGTGATCCTTGGTGGCTGTGGCTTGGTAGTTGAACCTCCCCATCTAGAGGCAGTCTATCTCAGAAAGACAAATGTTGTAGAAGGTAGGAGCAACAATAGGAGTATAGTATCTAGATCAGGGGTGGGCAACCTTTTTGAGCCGGGGGCCGAGTTGCTGTCCCCCAGACAATTGGAGGGCCGAAGCACGCACACACACATATATATATATAATAAAAAAATAAAAAAATGCATGCACACTCTCTCAGCCCCAGAAAAGCCATGGCAAAACCCCTGTGGAGATTTTGCCAAGAAAACCCCAAAAAGAAGTAATAACAACAATAATCAATATCATCATGGCGGGGGGTGGCGGCGGTGCCAGGACCGGCAAAAGGGCCTCAGGGGCCGCATCCGGCCCCCGGGCCTTAGGTTGCCTACCCCTGATCTAGATCAAGGGAAATATAGTGCACCCTCCACATTTGCTGGGGTGAGAGGTGCAGGACCCCCCCCCCATGAAAGTGGCAAAACCACAAATAAAACAAACCACTATTTTTCTTAAACCTGAGACAAAACCTCCCTAGGAATCTCTAGTTCCTCCACTGCAACCCTATATTCAACATCTGCCAGAAGTTGACCATAAAATTGCACTGGAGGACCTAAAAATGCCTAGAGAAGTCTTCTCTCTAGGAATTTCTAGGTCCTCCAGCACAATGTTTGGCAAACGTTGACCATAGAGTCACGCTACAGGATCTAGAGATTCTTAGAGAGTACATATTAATAAAATCAGTGAATAATCAAAGCCGCAAAAAGTGGAGGGCTGACTGTAATGTGTGTGTTGTGTGCCTTCAAGACATTTCTGATTTATGGTGACCCTAAAGTCATGGGGTTTTTTTTGGCAAGATTTGTTCAGAGAGTTTTCCATTGCCTTCCTCTGAGGCTGAGAGTATGTGACTTGCCCACAGTCACTCAGTGGGTTTCATGGCCGAACAGGGAATTGAACCCTGGTCTCCAGAGTCGTAGTCAAACCAGTATACCACATACTGATTTTCCAGATGAACACGGCTGTGACTTGAATTCTGTTCAAGAGGATGAAAACTTGTTTAGATATACAGGACAGGCAAGGATATTAAAGTTTATCATAGGCATCTTGGGTGCCAACTCAGACCTTTCTGGTCCTACAGATCCCTGAGTAATATTACTATGTCATTATCACTATTAGGAGGTACTAATGATAATCCTGCTCTCTGCCTTTATGGAGTCTTGACTTCACTTTGACGATAGTGAAATTCTTAGCCATCTCTGTAGTGCCACCTCCTGGAACTGTAAGTATGAAATCATACTGAAAGTATGAAACCCATTGGTTTGCCTTGGCCAAGTCACACTCTCTCAGCCTCAGGGGAAGGCAAAGGCAAACCTCCTCTGAACAAATCTTGCCAAGAAAAACCCAGGATAGGTCACCATAAGTCAGAAATTACTTGAAGGCATGCAACAACAACTATGATTCATATAGCCAGCTGGGTGATGGTGGATGAAGTGCTATTGAAAAACAACAGCAATATAATAAATAAATAAGTGAAATTAAAGATCTGCAGGAAAAGGTAGAAGGGAGGCCTGCCATGAGTTTGGGGAGAGGTGTCTAGCCAACCTCAAGTAAATCCTTGAAAGGGGAAATGAGAAATGTCTAACCATTTACTCTGCTCAGCTCAAGAGGATATCTTCCTATCAGATTGTGTTAGTGTGACAGATGCACACTCGCAGGGCACTGCTCATTTTCACAGTTGAGATCCTTGGCTGAAAAGGGAAGAATGGCCTCATATACATACTTACATATCTTTATTACGGCCAAAGGCCAGCATAAGAATGGCCTCATATGAAGTACAGTCGGCCCTCCACTTTCGCGGGGGATCTGTTCAGGACCCGCCCAATCCTGCGAAAACAGAGATTTGGGAATATTCAAGCCCCCATTGATTTTCACAGAGGTCGCCCCTCTGTGAATGTGCAAAACCACGGACTTTAAGTCTGCGAGAAAAGAGGAGCGGCCGTGCAGCTGAAAACATATTGGGGCCTGCTAGGTGTTTCCGAAGGAAGAAACACAAAGAGGAAAGGTACCCATCCACAATGCTGTTCTTGCACAAATCAAGTGACATGCCTTCTTACCTTGCAAGGCCAGATAGGGCAGAACAAGACACCTTTTCTCTCTCCTTCTCCCTTCCGATTTATTGGATTATGAACAAGCAGCCGGAGAGACACCTTGCGGTCCTGCCACAACTGCTTGCCTCAAGGTGAGGAAGACGACCTGTCCTCTCGACCCTTGCCCATCATGGCTG